TCCTGCCTGCCTTTATTTTCAAAACCTCTACGTACTGAGAACAAGACAGAGGTTCCTAAACGCGCCTTTAAGACTATTTGCCAGTGTTTCTTTTAACAGCCACATGTTGAAGTTTACCTTAGAATCACTTGCCTGTAAATATTTGTCGGAAAGGAAGACTTTGTTGAGTCGGCAAACGTTCATGGAGTGGCAGAGTGAACGAGTGGATCAAGAGGGGCCCAGAGACTTCCTGGCGCAGGGAGACCGGACCACCTCTCTCCCCAGGACCCCCAGGAGCGACAGGGCAGGATTCTGGCTTGTGAACTGAGAAACTCCAGCCTCCCTCAAGAGTGGGGTGGGGGAATCATGAACATCAGTCTGTGTGTTCCGAAAAGCCTGCAGGAGTGTCCGCGGCCAGCCAGGAAAAGATTCCGAACAGACGAAACCGAAATCCACGCTTCGCTGGGCTCTTGCACTGCATCGTGCTTGGACGTGTCGTGGAGGTCTAAAAATCCTCTTCCCCCTTTCCTTTGCCCCCTGCTCTTCTGCCTCTTCCCTACTCCCCAGTCTCCAGGATGGTGCCAGTCCTCGGACAAACCCACAGCCCACCAGCCAGTGAGAATGGAGGGCGCTACTCCAGGCCTTGCAGTAGTGACCCCCTCTTGGGAGAAGCGAGTCTAGGTCTTTTAGTCTGAAAACCAATTCGACTTTTTTACACAGTTGCTGAGGCCAGCAGGTAACGAAGAGGCCGCACCGCCGGTCCGGATTCAGACTCCATGCTGACCAAGTCAAAGACAGAGGTGGTCCCTGCCACCGACCAGCTGGGCCTGGAACGCTTGGGCACGCACCCACAACGCTGAACGGAATGGCCATGCCTGGCCGCAGCGCCCCGTGTTGAGATGGGAGGAAGCACACCAGTCTCCCTGACGCCGTGGCGTGCAGCCCAGCACGGAGGGTCTTCTCTGTCTATCATGCACTAGCTGCCATCGTCACCCGCTTATTTCCTGAACCACGAGGTGCAGCCAGACCCCGCGGTGCTCATGGCTGGCACCCCTCTGAGGTGCTCGCGGTGGCAGGCGAGCCCAGTGCACCCCTACACCTCTGCACATGTGCACTCCTGGGCCAAAAGCAAGATGGGGCGCTTACCAGGTGGGCCCCGGCACACACGGCGGGAAGGGCTAGCCGAGGGGCTCTCAGCTCCGCGAGGCGGTGCCATTTTCAGCCTTCATCTTCAGAGAATGTCTTCTCGGGAATTGGAACTGAAATGTCTCAGCATTTCCAGCACATTCCGTCCCTAGTCCTTCCTATTCTGGATTCTCGGCGTTCTTCCCCTCCTGCCCGTTCATTCACCTGCTGATGTGATAAGCAAGCAATAAACATTCGTGGGCTATCAGGCAAGAACTGGAGACTGAACTTCGTACTTAGAAAAGAAGAAATAACACACATCGTCACGAACTGTGGACGCGTTCCCCTCTCCCTCTCTGTCTCTCGGTCTCTCTCTGAGGAGCACACATGCTCCCTGGAAGGAAAAAGAACAAAAAAGATACTGTGGTTAGAAGCGGACCTTAGATCAAAATTCGCACACACGCAGACACATGCACCACTTACATGGATTTATGGAGTTTTATTTCTTCTAACAAAAAACACACATTTAAATGATGAGAGGAGCATCATATGGGGTGGCCATTCTCCGTCCCCCCTGCGAGCTCTCGAAGGGGTGCAGCTGTCTCTGTCCAACCTGGCCCATGCCTGGACTCAGGACGAAATCGCTCCTTCCAGACAAGGCTGAATTTAAGAGATTCTTATATGTTGCCTTATCTGATTTTTTAAAAAACAATTATTTATTTAATTTTATTTATCACTATTATTATTTAATTTGCTATAGGGCACGCTCACTCACCAGAGGCAGAGACAAAGGGGGGGGCGAGTGAGAAGGCAAGTCACCAGGTCCAGGACTCGAATCGTGGTCGGCCATGTGGGAGTCCAGCACCTTAAACGCCACGCCATCTGCTGGCTCCTGAATTTAAAAAGTGTTTCCAGTTTAATATATATTATGTACATTCTTCCAAATGCTTTTCCACTTTCCTTTCATTATGTTGAGATGACTTCAGTCCACATTTTGCCTCTTATTTTTGAGAAATTCATCAAAATATCTGACCCATCAAACATTTAGTGGAATGTCAGATGACCTTCTCAATAGAAAGAGAGTCCGTGAAGTTTCAGGAGGTCGATTTGCTAACTGAGAGCTAGCCATGGTCTTGAGCAGTCTGGGGTTGCTGCCGAACGCAGTTAACTGACGTGAGGTGAACTGTAGTTCAGAAAAACACATCCTCTCCTTTTTTCTCACTATTATTTTATGAGAAATCAGCAGACACAGTAAAGTGGACTCTTTTGTTTAGTTTCTGAGTTGGAACAGTTTAAAGCAGCCGTTCTCAGCGTGCACCCCCGGGAGCGTCAGGGCCTCGAGAAGCCCTCTGCCAGAGAACGCGTTTCGGCTCGGTACGGGTGACTCCCCTGTCTCCTCTGCGGGGGGCTGACAGTGCGCCCCATCCCAGGGCGTCCCAGCGATTCCTAGCTCCGTCTAACCTGTGTGCTCGCTCTGAGTTGATCGGTTAACATCGACTGTCGAATCGTGGTCGGCCATGTGGGAGTCCAGCACCTTAAACGCCACGCCATCTGCTGGCTCCTGAATTTAAAAAGTGTTTCCAGTTTAATATATATTATGTACATTCTTCCAAATGCTTTTCCACTTTCCTTTCATTATGTTGAGATGACTTCAGTCCACATTTTGCCTCTTATTTTTGAGAAATTCATCAAAATATCTGACCCATCAAACATTTAGTGGAATGTCAGATGACCTTCTCAATAGAAAGAGAGTCCGTGAAGTTTCAGGAGGTCGATTTGCTAACTGAGAGCTAGCCATGGTCTTGAGCAGTCTGGGGTTGCTGCCGAACGCAGTTAACTGACGTGAGGTGAACTGTAGTTCAGAAAAACACATCCTCTCCTTTTTTCTCACTATTATTTTATGAGAAATCAGCAGACACAGTAAAGTGGACTCTTTTGTTTAGTTTCTGAGTTGGAACAGTTTAAAGCAGCCGTTCTCAGCGTGCACCCCCGGGAGCGTCAGGGCCTCGAGAAGCCCTCTGCCAGAGAACGCGTTTCGGCTCGGTACGGGTGACTCCCCTGTCTCCTCTGCGGGGGGCTGACAGTGCGCCCCATCCCAGGGCGTCCCAGCGATTCCTAGCTCCGTCTAACCTGTGTGCTCGCTCTGAGTTGATCGGTTAACATCGACTGCACTTTGGGAAACACTTTCCCGTAGTCACTCGGCAACCACTAGCGAGCGCTTGGCCGAGTGCCGGGCAGACCGCGGGGCTCTGCGTGTCCATGTCGCGTTTCTGTGGCTTCCATTAGGGATGGGCCGGGCATGTACACCTCAGCTCCAGGCACGGGCAGTCACTGCCGTGTCCCCTGACCTTGTCACTCCGGAGCAAAGGGTCTGCATGAGGCCCTCTCCCCGGCCTCTGACCCATCTCCACAGCTCCAAACCGAGGTCCCCCATGGAGGTCGGTAGAAGTCAGTCTCACTGGGAGGCGACCAGGGCGCCGGCACCTTCCTCCCCGCTGCCCTGTCAGCCTTGCTGTCTGCACCTGGCTCCTGCTCAGGTAAGGTCTTTGTGTCCCACCGGCTTCCCTGTCTGGTGAGAGGTTTCTGCCTTAGGGCTGCTTGCTGGAGTGGAGACAGCGAGACGGGAAGTGAGAAATCGCCCCAGTCCCATCTCCCCTCCACACAGGCACACAGCCACCGTGTCCAGGACTGGGACGGCGCTGGCCATGTGGGAGTCCAGCCAGGCGACCCCGGCGCCACCTGCAGGTCCCCGTTTTAGCTTTTCCGTCAGAGGGCCCGCCCTCCCAGAGAGAAGGCAAGGCAAGCAGTCCACAGTGCAGGCTCGCACCTCCATGTGTCCGCCCCGGGGTTGGGGTGTGCAGGTATTGGCCTCCCGGGGTCCCTGCGCCGCTCAGTTCCTGCTGGAGCTGCGTCCCCTCTTCCACCCAGCCTCACATGAATGGATTTGGGGCCACCTGGGTAGGCTTCACTAAACCCACCAACCCAACCATGTGTATGGAGAACCTGAGGGCCCCGATGTGTGCGTCCCCCAGCATCCACCTCTGGCCGGGCTGAGACCACCTGGCCACGGACAGACCTGCGTGTTCACAGAACGCAGGGAGCATGGGAAGGGAAGAGAGTGCTTGGTTTGGAAAGCCCCTGCTAAAGTTGCTGAAATTCAAGAAGCCTAGTTAGGAGGGAGAGGGAGCTCGAGAACCCAGGGGAAGAAGCCAGAGCCTGTGGCAAAGGTTACGCTTTTCTGTTTTCCAAACGCGTTTTCCCCGAAAGCTGCTGACGGAGCTTTGGCCAAGGACGGCCCTGTTTTATGTTTAACTTGCTGGGCTCTGTGCGGGAGGCGCGGGGGTGGCGGTTTATAAGGCAGCTGCAGCCCTGGCGTGGTGCCTCCAGGCTGGCTGCGTAGCCTGGACCCACCCCCTTTCCTCACTCACCCCTGAGCTGCCGTGGGAACGCACGGGGAGGGGAAGAGGCAAAAGCAGCCAGCGAGGT